AATAATTATTTAACTTTATTTATTTATTTATTCATTTTAATTTGACCAGAAAAGGACAGAGAAAGAGAAAAAGAGGGAAAATGAGAAAGCAAGCTGCCAGGTCTGGGACTCAAACTGCAGTTGGTTATGTGGGAGTCCAGCACCTTTAACTTCCATGTCACCTGCCGCCCTGTTTTCTTACTTTCTCTCTCTCTCTCTCTGTCCCTCTCTGATGAAATTAAAATTAATTAATTAAAAGTTAAATAAAGTAATTCTTAAAAAAAAAATCTCACGCTAGGTGCATGTGTCAGTGCCCAAGATCCTGAGAGGAGAATGGAGAAGAAGGGATTGGGACATGGCTATTCTCCCGAGGGGTGATTTCTCACTTTCTATCTTTCTGTCTCTTAGCAAGTGCACACACCCTGTAGGAAAAAAAAAAAAAAAAAAAAATCTTTGTCACAAGGAGTATATACAAGGTTATATTATTATTTTTAAAATGTGATTTTTTTTAAAGATTTTAAAAATTTATTTGATTTCAATTCATTTCACTTCATTTATGTATTTTAATTTGACCAGAGAAGGAAAGAGAGAGAGAAAGAAAGCAAGCCGCCAGGTCTGGAACTCAAACCATGGTCAGCCACGTGGGAGTCCAGCACCCCTAACCACCACGCCATGTACCAGCCCCAAGGTTTTATTATTATAACCTTCTAATAATCATCATATAATAAGAGTAGAACAAACTAAGGTACAGGGGAAGGGTTTGTTCAAGCAAGTACTATGTTAAAACTAGATTAGATTTTGGGAACCAGCAGTTAGCGTAATGGCTATGTCGCTGGACTTCCACGTAGGCAACCGCGGTTTGCGTCCCGGGCCCAGGGGCTTAAAACTCACACCGGGCGTGTGTGTGTGCGTGCCCAAGATGCCGAGAGGAGAATGGAGGAGCAGGGATTGTGGCGTGACCATCCCCCCTGGGAGGTGATTTCTCGCTTTCTGTCTCTATGTCTCTCTCTGTCTATCTGGCGAGCGCACGCGCCCTATAGCGAAAACCTCTCAAAAAAAAACTAGATTAGATTTTGATTTCTTCATCTTCCCGGCCCAAGTCCCACTTTAATGCTACTATAGATTTCCTCATCATGGGCTTTCTACCTTTCACTTTTCTCTGCCTCTCTCTGACAGGCACACAGGCCCTATAGCAGATTAAAAACGAAACAAAGCAAACTTCCAAATAAACCAATTCCCTAGAATCTATTCTTTTGGGTTTTTTTTGCCATAGGGTGCGAGCACTTATGGCAGTTGGGAGGTGCAGGGAAAGTTAAAAATTATCCCTCCTCCCCACAATCTCTTCTCCATTCTCCTTTCCAGATTTTGGGCATCTGCCTTGTTTTTCAAGCCTCTGGGTCCAGGACACAAACTGAGCAGTTGACCATAAGGGATCCGGAGCCTAACCACCACACCATGGGCTGGCCCATGCCTAGAAGCTATTTAATCTGTTACCTAGTTAGAAATACTCATTACTCTCCTGGTACAAAAATATTAAAAATCACTCCAATTTTAAGGTTTTTTACCTAGACCTGACCTATCCATATCACGAGAAGAAATTATCTCTATCTTTGCTACTTTGAAAGAGGGGAATTAAAACCTGTTATTCTCTTTTACCTGACAAGGATCTGAATATATATATATATGTAAAAGATCTGAAGAAATAAGCTACAAATCATCTTTGGGAAGATGCCTAGTGGTTCAACCCAATTAAGGAAGGAGGCTGGGAGCTAAAATCCTACAGCCACACAAATATTAACATCTCTAAATCCACAATCTCGGTGTTGTGTGTGTGTGTGTGTGTGTGTGTGTGTCAATTACTTTATTTAACTTTATTTCTTTATTTTAATTAGGCCAGAGAGGGACAGAGCGAGAGTGCGAGAAAGAGAAAGCAAGCCACCAGGCCCAGGATGTGAACCGTGGTCGGCCATATAGGAGTCCAGCACCCTTAACCACCATGCCACATGCTGGCCCCAACAGGGCTGTTTTGTTTTTGTTTTTTTTTTTGGAGAGGTTTTCGCTACAGGGCGTGTGCGCTCGCCAGACAGACAGAGAGAGACATAGAGACAGAAAGCGAGAAATCACCCCCCAGGGTGAATGGTCACAGCAATCCCTTCTCCTCCATTCTCCTCTCGGGATCTTGGGCACGCACCCACACGTGCCCGGCGTGAGTTCTAAGCCACCGAGTCCAGGATGTGAACCGCGGTCGCCTACATGGGAGTCCAGCGACATAGCCATTACGCTAACTGCTGGTTCCCAACAGGGTGTTTCTGAGAGAAATGCTCTGGTCTAGTCCTAAAGAAAGGGTAAAAGTATTTCATTTGCTTAAACAAACAAGATTAGGTGGACAAGAGGGCTAATAAAACCCCTTGGGGCACTACAGTTCTAACATAATCAGGCAGGAAGAAATTAGCACCCTAGATCCTACAGTAAGAATCCCTATGGGACCAGGAGATGGCATAATAGTTACACTGCTAGACTCCCACATGGTCCACTGATGTTCTAGTCCCAGACCATCAGCAAGAAACTCACGCTGGGTGTGTGTGCATGGGTGCCCAATATCCAGAGAGGAGAAGGGATTGCAGCGTGGCCATCATCCCTGGAGGGTGATTTCTCGCTTTCTGTCTCTGTCTCTCTCAGCACCTCCAGCAAGCACACCGGCTACAGAGCAAAAAAAAAAAAAAAAAAAAATCTCTAACGACTAAGGGGAGATGGAAAAGAACAGAGTAAGGAGTCTAGAAAAATATTCCACAGCCCATACTAACCCTACTAGGTATTCGAGAACTTTAATAGAATGTTAATTCTTTATCATGGCAAACCAATCCAATGAGGATTAAAAGGAAACTGAAATCAAGAGAAATGTGCAGGAACGAGACAGGGAATAACCAATGCAGTGTCAAACACCATCAGGAGGAGCCTGTGATGACAAGACACCTGTAATCTATTCTTAAAATTTGGGGCGAGTGTGAGGGTTGGGGGGAAATTCAAGTCAGGACATCATCCACAATGCTAAGAATCAAGAGGAACCAGTGTGTTTATAACCCTACGTATCGTAAAGACAGCATGAGCTCCGTTCAACTTTTAACCAACTCTCTGCTCTCTCCTCCGCAGGACTTCTTACTCTACACCGAGGCTTTGGCTCCTGCCCTAGGCCACACATACATTCTAGGGAATAGCAGAACCTCTGGTCCCTAAGACTGCCCCGAACTCCCCTATCTTCCCCCTCCCAGTCCGGCTTAACCCTGACTCCCGGCCCCTCAGGACACCACAGCACCTCCGCTGCCCCTCCAGCTCCTACCAAAATCAGCGCCTCCATCTTGCCCCGCAGCTGGTGCCGACGTGGAGCCGCAAAAGCAACGCCGCCTCTGATTGGCCCTACCCCTTAATTAGACCCTGCCCAAAATAAGGGTTATTGGGCAAGGCTAAACCAGTCCTTTCTCTATAGACCAATCACTGTACTCCTTTATTTAGCGGAAGCAAAGTGTCCAGCCAAAAGGCTCAGGTTTGATTGTCATCGTGAACACTCAATAAAAAGCCAAAACCTCACGCTTGACTGAGGGGCGGGAAGGTCTGTGGGGGCGGAGTTGTTTCCATGGGGAACAGAGGAAGCAATTGTTAATTTTCTATTGGTAGGGAGGCAGGCACGTGATATCGCGGACATGATTTAGCGGCTTTAATCCGCACTCCCTTAAGGGGGAGCTATATCGTCTTAATCTTTAACCTCGGATCCTCTGGGCGAAGCTACCTGAGTCCCGTATTTCCAGCTGCCCTACTAGATCTGTGATGTATATATATTATAGTTGCAGCTCTCCTCTCGTACTCGCAGACAGTCCGCAAAACTGCACAGGATAGCAGAGAGAGAGATGTCCAACTCATTAAGCAGATAAAGGCCTCCTGGAGCTGATCGCTATAGTAACAGTCTCCCCAAGGTGGAGTCCTGGGCTTTTACTGGGCCCAGGGCAGAACAAGAAGGACAAAAATCTCCTAAAATTTATTTTTGCTTTTGTTCTTAATTTGCTTTAGGACCGATAAAACAGAGGGGAAAAAAAATGAGAAAGTACCCCCCACACACACACACACACCCAGGGGTGATGGCTACTCTACAGTTCCTTCTCTCCTCCGGATATTGGGTACTCATACATGCCTGGAGTGTTTTATCTTGTTTTTTTGAGAGAAAGTTTTGCTATAGGATGTGTGCGCTCGCCAGAGAGACAAAGACGTAAAATGAGAAATCACAAGACCAGCAATTGGCGTAATGGCTGTGGTGCTGGACACCCATATATGCCATCT